AATGTTGTAGACGTGGCACTTGGGGTCATGGTTTAGCAGGCATTGTGGTGTTGGGGTGCCGGTTGGACTTGCTGATCTTAGAGGTCTTTTCCAACCTTAATGATTCTGTGATTCTATTCTATGCTGCCTACCGGTATGTGTCCTTCTGCAAGCCTTTCAGGCAGAGAGCGTGCATTAGCCTGAGCCCCCAGCATGGTGGCTTTAAAGGGAACTCTCTGCAGGTGCAGGGAGATGATTTACTTTTCCTTTTCTTTTTAAATAGACTCCCTCGATTTTATGCCACCCCCTTTTCAAAGCAGAGCGCAAGCGCTGCAGATTTCTTGGCTTGTGTTGCTCCTACAGGGATGCTAAGTCTAAACAAGTTAGAGTGACTCCGTCTAGTGGCCTGTGGACAAGAACACTGCAAAACAGGCTCAGCATGCGACGGAGCAACACACAGAATTGCTTCTCCTCTCCTGGGTTCCCGACAAGCTGCTCCGGGCAGCCATCGATAGCGCCCAAACACTCGGTTTCGGCATCGTGCCCGAATGCGACATTTACCCAGCTTGCCAGGGAGTAATCACCACCACGCTTCCCATTCCTATTCCTCTGCAAAAGTGTGCTCTGATTTGATTAAAACCAAGGTTGATCCAACTGGAATCCACGCAGGCCCTTGGATGGAAGAGGCAGGGGGGGAAAGAGCATAATTAGAGGTTATGCATATATTCTTACAACTTAAATTTTTGGCTCTTACCTGCAAATGCCATAATTTTCACTATTTGACCATGCTCAATTTTGTGATTCAAAATTCTCTGCTGTTCATGGGTCAGCTTTAATTCAGGCCAGCTACTAAAAGCAGAAAAAAAAACAGCAAAAGGAATTAAGAAAATCAATCCTCCAACATAAACCACACAAATCCGCTAACAGCAGAAGGAAACCAATGAATGATTGATCCCCATCCCCCAAGCAGGAAGGTGGCACTAAGCAACCTGGCTGTTCTCCAGATGAGAAAAGCAGGGAATAAGAAAAGACTGGAGACGGCAAAAATAAAAAGGAAACCTTGGGGAAGGTTACGAGGAAAAGATCTCCTCAAGGGCCCTACGCCACGCTTTATAAACTAATTTGGCACCCTGGCTCATTAGGCTTATTAAAAACAACGGCGATTTGGGTGTGGGGCGTTTTGTTGCTTTTGAGAGCATGGACCTTAAACTGCTCTCCGATTTCTCAGCGTGTAGGACAGATCACTCATCCCCACTGCTCAGGGGAGCCGAGAGCTTTGATTAACATTAAGAAAGGCATTCGGAGCTTCTGGTTGGAGTGCAATGGTTTTATTCATAAAGGTCTGAAACCTGGTCTGCGTCCAGCTCTGGAGCCCCCAACATAAGAAGGACATGGATGTGTTGGAGCGGGTCCAGAGGAGGCCACAAGGATGATCCGAGGGCTGGAGCACCTCTCCTACGAGGACAGGCTGAGGGAGTTGGGGCTGTCCAGCCTGGAGAAGAGAAGGCTCCGGGGTGACCTTAGATCAGCCTTCCAGTACCTGAAGGGAGCCTACAGGAAGGATGGAGATAGACTTTTCACAAGGGTGTGTAGTGATAGGAGAAGGGGGAATGGCTGTAAACTAATAGAGGGCAGATTGAGATTAGTTATTGGGAAGAAATTCTTCACCATGGGGGTGGTTGAAACACTGGAACAAGTTGCCCAGAGAAGCTGTGGCTGCCCCCTCCCTGGAATTGTTCAAGGCCAGGTTGGATGGGGCTTTGAGCAACCTGGTCTAGTGGAAGATGTCCCTGCTGATGGCAGGGGGGTTGGAACCAGATTGATCTTTAAGGTCCCTTCCAACCCAAACCATTCTATGATTCTGTAATCAGTCAACAGTGCGAAGGGTCCTCCCCGATACCATGCCTAAGGGCGGGAAGCTGTGTTTAAGTATCCTTGACATTTCACAGCTGGAGTTAGACGGCTGCCCCTAGGATGCATCTCATACTGAACAAGCAAAATCTGCTCAGAAAAAGACTTGAAATGGAGGAGCAGAATGAAAGGGCTGGGAAACCAAGAAGCACTCAAACTCCAGTTTGGCTCCCCAGTTCAAGAAAGATGAGGAGCTACTGGAGAGAGTCCAGCGGAGGGCTATGAGCATGATGAGTGGACTGGACCATCTCTCCTAGGAGGAGAGGCTGAGGGAGCTGGGCTTGGTCAGCCTGGAGCAGCGACAAGGGGACCTTCGAAATGCCTCTAAATATCTGCAGGGTGGGTATCAGGAGGATGGGGCCAGACTCTTTCCAGTGGTGCCCAGCGACAGGACAAGGGGCAACGGGCACAAACTGAAGCAGAGGAAGCTCCAGCTGAACATGAGGAAGAAATTCTTCACTCTGAGGGTGATGGAGCCCTGGACCAGGCTGCCCAGGGAGGTTGTGGAGTCTCCTTCTCTGGAGATACTCAGACCCTTCCTGGACAAGATCCTGTGCAGCCTGCTGTGGGTGACCCTGCTTCGGCAGGGGGTTGGACTGGGTGACCCACAGAGGTCCCTTCCAACCCCGAACATTCTGTGATTCTGTGAAACCCAACATCCATTTACCTTGGGTTATTTTTTTTTTTATTATGACCTCTCTCACTGTTGTACCTCAGTGATTTTACTTGATTTATTTTTGCTAGACCTCAGTGATGGATGAAATCGCCACTATTCCCCTTCTGTAGGTAAGGACAAGCAAACGAAACGACTCAACCCAGGTTTACTGCCGCAGAAGGGGAACCAAGCCTGGATCTCCACATGCCAGGAAAGCGTTTCACTCCTTACTGTCCTTCCCTTCTAGGCAGCAAGCTACCAACCAATGCTAATTTATAACAGCTATATATATATATAACAGTTAGATTATGACAATTATCTAACAGGATTTATAAAATAGGAGCCAAATCAATACCCCGCGACTGGTATCTCGTTTCCTCCTGTGCACAGAAAGAAGTCTGTGAATGAATGACCACGTCACTGGCCCTACAGTAACATCGCCAGCAGCCCGACTCCATTTTGGCGGACTGCAGCTTGCGTTTCTAGAGGGACAGGTGGTTAAAATGAAAGCAGGCACTCTCCCCTCCTTCCAGACCTGCTTATCCATAGGGAGAGTGGTGATTTGAGAGGGTGTTTTGGGGGTGATTTGGGCTGTGTGAAGTTTCAGCGGCCGTCCCGCTGGAGCGCACAGAACTGTGTTCCACTGATACACAGACCAACCGGTCCATAATGACTTCTAAATTCAGTCAGTACTTGGTAATTCAATTTTTACATATTTAAGGCCTGATTCTGGTTTTCCAGAGTGTGGGCAGAAGATAGCAAGGAGCAGAATAAGGTTGTGTACTAATCCTTATGACTCTCCGAGTCTTGTCAGTCAGCCCTTGCCATGAAAGGTTCGCTTCCCCTCCAAGGTTCAGCACTCCACCGGGGCCCTGCGTACTCAGGCACATTGCTCAGATCACCTAAAATAGCATTACCCAGACCATAAGTCTTGTCTGCAGCGCGATGCCACTGTCTCCTCTTCTACTGTCTGCACAGCGACAGAAGAATTCTCCATCAGATACAAGCAGTAGAAAATATTGTAGTGGATCCTGGTGGAAAGGATAAAAGAGAAACCATCACTGAGAAATCATCAATAACAAATTAAACTCCTGCAGCCACCTAAAAGACAGCCAACGTCTTGAATACTTCCAATATAACGGTGCACCAAGCCCCGAGCGCTCAGGGAGCTGCAGGAGACAATATTAATATTATAAATATTTTAATATTATAATATTATAAATAATATAATATATTACAAAAGCGCAGTTAGTTCTACCTTGAAAAGCGACTACAAAGGCACCACGGGGACAGCTCTCCCTCACTCCTGCCAGGTTTGTGTTTCACCGTCTG